GTTCTGTAGCTGGTGCTGTTGCTTTGTTAGGAATGTGATGGATGTGCTGTGGCAATAGGAAAATGCAAATGTGACTTCACGTGCAGACTTGACTGGTTCATCCAAAATGCTGCCAGTGGCAGCTGGGCAGAGATCTCCAAGTAGATGTTTTTAACAATATGGAAAAGCAGGATTGCACCCACAACAGAGCAGTCTTGACCTTAGATCTACTGCTAAAAAATAGCCTATTTTTGAAGAGATTAAGGACAAAGACATTCAAAGCTTTCTTCTAGATACACTTCCATTACAAATTTTGAATTAACTTAAAGGACACTGCCTAACTTCTCCAGTTTAATTCTGGCTTTTTATTCCTTGCATATTTTATCCTTTCTTTCTTAGTGTCCCATTTTCTCCAGGACAGTCATTGATTGACCATTAGGCTAGAGACCCGGGGAGCCCCAGGCAGGGCTGCCAAGAGATACCTGCACTGGAGGGTTCCAAGTGTCAAGGCTGGAAAAAGCAGCTTGCCTGGATCAAAAAAGCCCTCACTTCTTGCCTGCTCATGGACCATACTAAAAATAGATCACCACTGATAATGGTGCATTGTGTTATTCCAGCAGTAAGTCATAGCATTCCACACTTTTACTTCTGTTTGTAGGAAATTCAATTAAAAACTTGGTCTGATACACACACACACACACAAAAGAATGCATTTACTCTCAGTGGCTGCATTTACCATCAAAGTTGGTAATGTTTCCTGAAATTGGTTTCTGATCCCCCAAAAGGCTGTGGGGTTTTCTTCTTCTTCTTTTTTCTTTCTTTTTTTTTTTTTTTTCTCTTTCTTTGTTATTTTTTTTCCAAAGGTTAATGTCAGGGAAACTGAACTACATACATGAAACTCTAAAATATCAACTGTGTAGATAAATCGTGGCATCATCGTGGTATCAGGGGCATAATGTGTGTGTGACCTGCCTCCAGTTCCATGAAATCCAGTGAATTCCCAGTTTCCACTAGCGGGTGGCAGGCAGATCTGAGTGTGGCTATTTTCTGTTAATTTTGAACCAGCTGTGGTTGTGATGGTGGGGGAAGAGTAGGAGGGCTGTGATCTGCAAGGAGAGGGAAACCCTGGACTGGAGCCTGGGGAGCTAAAAGCCATTGGCTGTTAGGCAGTGGCACTCACTGAGTTTTTTCTGTATGAATCCTCTTCATGTGACAGACCTGCTGCACAAAATGCCAAGAGTGGTGCAGCCTGCAGGGCTTTGGCAAACAGATCATCTCTCATGATTCATGCAGCATCCTTCCTCTGCTCCACCTATGATGATGTCTCAAATGTGACCTTCAAAGGCAGGGCTAAAGCTGAATCTGGCTTCAAAAACATGACCCACAAGCAGAGTTTTGTGCAGCAGCACAAAAAAAGGAGAAAGCATAAAAAGGAGAAAGTGATCCCGAGTGTCTGAAGCTGCCAATGTAGGTTGCCCAAGCAATTCTTGCTGAATGAACGGCACATTTGTATACGTGTTATTTAGAAACAGCTTTAAGAGACTTTCCTCTCTTAATTTCACTCATACCTTAACTTTGAGACACTGAGAGTGTCACTGCCAACTTCCCAGAAGTCCTGTAGCTGATTCTAATTTACATAAACTATTCTGCATACTGCTATATGCAGACACAAATAGCTATCTTCTTGGGTTTTGTTTCTTCCCTTATCTCCTCCCAGCCCCCTTCTCAGGGCTGGGAAAATATGACATATGCCTGAGCAGGCAGAAGCAGATTTGGGAAGGTCTGTGCATTTTTCTGCTCTGGGTTTACCACACTGAGGAGCACTTCATGACTGGACACAAGTGCTCATCACTGGGGATTTAGTAACCATTCCCCTCTGAAAATGGGATTTCAGTGCAGTCATGAGGCTGGGCAGTGAGCCCATCACTCTTCCAGAGAATCGTTACCCCATTTCCTCTTCTGTTCTCCTAATTAGGAGTTTGCACTTCAGTAGAGCACTTACCACAGCCTTGTTGCCATCCTGTACCTGGTACACACCACGGTGATGGTACATGGTTACAAAGCCAAGAACTGAAAAACTGGGCAATATCAGATTTATATTTGCATATGCAACCTGAAATCTGCCCACTCACACATGTGTGCACCGACTGACACAGGGGTGCTGGGGAAATGTGTGATCTCAACTCTCACAAAACTAGGACAGAATTGGCAGGAAACACAAGGAGGCCTTTCTCAAATTTAAGGCCTGGAGTTTGCAATTAGATTTTTTTAATACAATTTCCTATAGACAATCCTGTGTTCTACAAAGAAGAAACCTTGCTAGCATTCCAGAACAGTTTTTTAAACACAAAATTACTGTTGTTTTAATTATGTTAATAGCCAAAAAGATAATGTGCTGCACGTGGGAGTGTAGGACTCTCCCAGGTGCTGAATGTGGAAATCACAGAGTTGAGGCAGGATAGGCTGGCAGAACTGAGCTACACCCTGCTTTTCTGGATCTTGCTTTACTTAAAATTAATCACAAGACACCAGAAGTGTTCAAATTTTGAAGATAAGTGCTTTTGTGCTACTGCATCTGCCTGTGCTCACAAGGCACACAGTGCCATCGTGCTGGTTTCTAAACAGAGCTGAGCAATGCAAAGCATCTGGGCAGGTCAGGGATGACTCAAACAAATCTGAGTCAATGGAGAGGAGGCAGAAGGGACAGTATTTCTTCCATCTGAAGTGAATGCATGAAACCTCATGAAAAACCAACACTAAACATATGAGGCCTTTTGGAAAGTGTCTCTGTGCAACTGCATCCCCAACATGCAGGATGATAAAATCATCTCCTGAGCTGAGTCGAGTGGCGGGGCTGAGGAGAGCTGTAAATAAAGTGGTGGGCGGTTTCCTGCTAAAACTCCCCTGCATGTCCAAGAACCCGCTGTGACTCAGCCGGTGCAGTCACTGGGAACTCAGCACAGACACCCTTTTCTGGTTGGGTGGTTTTACTTCTCTTTTTGCACCATACCAAGAGGGGCTCCATTCATCCCTGGAGGAATTGAATTGACAAATGTGACCCATTACTTTTTATTGTCTTAAGGTAATGATCTCACAGTAGACCCAACAGGACTGTTCAGACTTCTTGTCCGGTTAGCAGTGACCCCACCCACATCTGCAAAATGATGTGTCTGCTTGGATCTTTCACATGAAAGTTCATAGGACTTATATTCACATACTTTTACTGGCTTTTACATGCATCTCTTGATGGCCTAAAAATCACATTTTTCTTGCTTTCATTTCATGTGCAAGAATTCACATTTTTCTTGCTTTCATTTCATGTGCAAGAATACTCAGAAATTGCCTTTTTTTTTTCTTTTTTTAAGAGTATGTGTGTAAATATGCTGAATAGGAGACAATTATGTATTTGTTTATAATACATTTTCTAATGTACCTACTGTTCCTTCAAAGAATTAACACCTATGGAAAGATGAACTGAGCTGGAAGAATCCCATATTAAAGTAATAGCTGTGGCAATGTCTAGTAGCTTTTAGATCAGCAACATCCATTCTCACTTGCACTAGAATATTTTATGTCTGAAGCAGTTACATGTCATTTCACTTCTCTGGACTCATGGTTTTGGAACATCCTTTGCCATTGAGATAATGCTTTCCATTTGAATTTGTACAGACAGTTGCCTTTCCATGTGAAAAGTTCTGTACACACACAGCTTTAAACTTGGCATTGGGAATTAATAAAACAGGTTTGGGAGATGTGCTGGTTTCCATGAACTGACTTAGAACAAACTGTTCTTTTCCCCTCTTTATCCATATAATATCTGTTATGCTGCTTCTTTGTTTACACTTCTGTTTCTACCTTGTCTCTTCTCCCCCACAGTCCTTTTCCTTATTTTATTTATTATACTCCCTTTGTGCTAGTCCCAGCTAACTCCTTATTGGTTTCCTCCATAATAGTGCTGGAACGTTGTTCCATCTGACCTTGCTCTGTGTGAACAAATACACAGAGCAGGTTTCAAATTTAAAATACACAGGCCCAGGTTTAAAATTTACTCTGCTCTGGTTTTTTCTGCTTTTCAGCCCAATGTTATCTAGGTGACCCTTTAATTTCTGCTTAATACCTCTTTTAGTTTCAAGATCCAGTCTCCCTTTTGCTTTCTTTCTCTTTGTTATATTAATTATAGTTTGTACATGGCTTTATTTTTTTTCCCTTCTGAGAATTGTCTACTTTCTCCAGAGTTTTCAGTTTGGCATCTGAAGGTTATCTGTGGTTCCTTGTTAGTGAACTTCCTTTCTGGGAAGTTCAGCCTCTTTGTATTCTGACTCAAGTCATTAGCATCAAAGTACATTCTTCTTTTTCTTTCAAATTCCTATAACTGCCCACTTTTCTTCTCTTTTCTCTTCCCCAGTCCCCTCCAGTGCCCCCCACAGCAGTGCTCTGCAGGGCATGGCCTTACCAAAGCTGACACTCAGTTGCTTTCCCTCAGCCAAGGGGGAATGATGGAGGACTTGGTGTGTTTGCAGCCCTCCCATCTGAAAAGCAGGAGCCAAGGTTTTCCCAAGTGCACCTGAGGAGAAGATAGCCAAGGAGCTGGGGCCAGGAAGGAACTCAGATTATTGAGAGGAGGAGCTCTCAGAGGAGCTGAGGGGTGGCTGGCACTGGGGACCTGCCACTGGAGATGTGGGGTGAGGGACGCAGAGGGACCAGGTCCAAAGACAGGGGGAGCTGACATCAGTGGGTGGAAGTCTGGAGATGTGGCAGGAATGAGGGGATTCAAAGGCAGGAGGGGCTGGGGCTCACCATCTTTCAGAGCTGGTGCCATCAGCTGGGATTGTGGCTAGGGGACCTAGGACACACAGTGGCCTGCCCCATCCCCCTTCCTCCCAATGAACTGCCCTAACCCCCTTTTCATTCTACCAGAAATACCAGAAATAGTGCCAGTACATAGTACATCCAAATAGAAGGTTTAATAGACAACCTGATCACTCTGATATCCACAATAAATGACAATTTTACTTCACCAGGTGACCAGAACTCTTCTCCTCCTCCTCTTCTTCCTCCCCCACATACTCTTCATGTAAGTATAGTACTTAGGGAAGATTATGGGGCTACGTGGGAGGTACCCCACAAACAGAGTGGGTGCTGAGATCCTGCCTTCTGAGAAGAGCTCACCAGAATGACCAGTGAGGGCAGTGAGTGGGCAGAGCCCAGTGCTGGGGGAGCTGCACCTCCCTGCATCCTGCAAGGTGACTGCTGCCTGTGGCTGTGACAGGACAGCCTGTGCCCACGTCAGGGAGGGAAAGTGCTGCACCCTTACTGGTCATGGTGAGTCATTTGCACCTTTTGCTACATCTGGCACGAATTTCATTTTGAGCTACTGCTGTGCATCATTATTTTCAATATTTCCTTCGCCAGAAGCTGGAGCCACAGAGGTGAAATTACATTTACCAGAATCTGTCATTAAAACTGACAGCTGGTTCTCATTAGAAGTAAAAGAATCAGGTTTTGAACAGCTCTAAACAGTGCCATTTTCAAGTAGTTGCATTTGGAGTAAGACTGTCCATTAGAAAAAATAAAGAGAATATAATGCCAGGTATTCAAATGCACCTGCCTGTACCTTTCCCCTATTAGAGCTGAAATCAAGCAAGGAAACAGTACTTGGGGAACAAGTCCAATTAACCATGAAAAAGAGGAATTTACCAGATTACTAGCAAGCCTATTTTAATTTAAAGGGAATTTTGTGTCACTCTTTTGTCTTTACATAATACTGTGTGCAACTTAACACTAAGCATTAGCTTCAGATGGGCTTTTGTACCACCTTGGATTACATCCACACTTTTGGTCTCATCCATATTGTGATGTTGCCAGTGTCTCTTTTGGCCATCCAGATTTATGTCAATTGTTTATGGCCTCAAATAACTGTACTGCAAACTCCTGAACTATTCAGAGGAAATGCTCTGCCTTCAAATACACACCTTTGATGTGGCTTGGGAAACTTTCCACCAGGACTTTACCTCAGTGCCTTCTCTGTTTTTAATTGTGCATGTATTGAAGTGTTTTACAGGGACAGATTTAGCAGGAACTTTGCACACTGCCAGTCAGGTATAACTGCAGGGGCTTTCTGCTGAAGTAGAAAAGCCACACTGAGAAATAAGGCAAACCAAGATAGCCAGAAAAACACTCACTGGAATTGTGTCTGCTTATATTTAAATATCTCATTTGGAGGAAGTTCTGCTTTTACCTATAATACTACGCAAGTTCTTACAAAAGTCAGTTCAATGTTAGTATTACTCAGTTTCTAAGGAAATCATTTGGTTTTGTGTTTAGAAAACTTACTGCCAAGCCCCCTCTGCTGGAGGGAAAAATTATGTTTTCATCCCTGCATGCTGAAGACATCTAGTAAAAGCATTGCAGCTTATTACTGTGCAAGTGATTACAGGCTCAGAGTTCACAAGATCTTTACTACCTTTCTATTATTATCTGTCATTATCTGTCATAAGTTGTGCTTAAGAGAAGAGTCTGGATGATCACTGCAAATTTGTTCAAATTATTCCATCTGAATGAGTCAGTGTGTTGAAAATTCATCTTCTCAATTGATTCTTTTACCATCTAAGTTATTTTCAGTAGTGTCCACCCTTTTCACCCCCTGCTATATCTCGTATCATCTACATCCTTTGTCAGCAATCATTACACACAGTTAGAGTGAACTCACATAATACAGCAAACAGGAGAAGTTTACTGCAAGAAACCCACATGCTTTTCCAAGGCAATTCAATCTGCAAAAACGTGCTTTGTTTTTCTGACTGCTCTGCTTGTCTCTCAAGTGTGGCAAGAGCAGGTCACTGGGTGAAAGACAAGATGATGTGCTGGTTAAACCATGTTTGTACATGTGAGTACAACAAACCCTTCTGCAAGGACCAGCTTTATACTCACAGATCAGGAAACAGGAACAGCAAGGAAAGACAAGCCAATAGCTTCAGCATTGAATGAGGACATGGATTTCAGCCCTGCTCTGAAACACACTGCCTGGTGAACTTGTTCTAGTTAATTAGGCTAAAAGCCAGAAAAGAAATGTGTCACAACATTGAGCACTGCCCAAGAAAAGTTGGAGGTTTGTGAGACAAAGTGCTGGACCTGTTTATGGTCCTCTGTGGTGCACATTGAGAGCACTGAGTTTCTTTGAAAGGGATTCGAAGCAGCCAGTGTGCCATGCAAGCAGCCAGTAAGGAGCTATTGCCTACAGAGCTGCAGCTTTTCCCCCCTTGAGATTGTTCAAAAATCAGTCTCTGAAGAAAGGCAGTCTTTTAAAAATGGAGCAAGCCAAGAGAGCATTGCTGGGGCAGCTGATTTGTACTTAGACCTCCTCAGAATGTGGAAAAGTGAGATTTGTGTCCCTGCTTGGCAGAGAGCAGTCTCAGTTTCTCCCTTTTCTTGCAGTTGTCCTAACAAGTAAGTAGCAGTCTCCTCTCACTGAGAGGGAATGAGGAGTATTTGTTAAGTATTTGGGAACTTAACATCTAGAGCAGTCACTTGTGACTGGGAAACACTGGATTCTGGTGACCTCTCTGAGTGCTGTTAACTTACTGCACATTAATCAGTTCTTAGATAAGCTACTGAAGTGGTATTTGAGGCTGAGACAGAAGTCAGTGGCTTACCTCTGACAAATAAAACCCCCAACCTGCAGACCTAAAGGCAAGGCCCATTCTTTCTGTGGGTCAATGGCTCTTGAAAGCCTTTCTGTGAACTAAAGCAAGTTCACAGGAAGACCAGAGAATGTTTCCTTCTATGAGTTTGTGGTGTGAGGTCCTAATTTCAAAATAAGCTTGAGAAGCATGTCCTTGAGTCCATGCCAGGGAGGGGTTTGAGCCTGATTCCCCAAACTGAAGCTTGAAGCACCCACATTCCCACAAAAGATCTCACTAGTAAACTGCTGAATAAAACAGAGGAGCCTTAAAAAAATAATGATACCCCTTTAAGAAAATGTCTCTAATGAAGTCTCTGAAGGGTTGCAAAATACTTCAAGCCTCTATTATTAGATTCCGTCTGAAAAAATAGTGACAATTGTTCTATAAACATCAAACTAGCAACACTGAGGGAAGGAAAAACCATACTGAATTGGTGTTCTATGTTAAAAAATATTCTTTTAAAAATGTAATTGTATTTCAGATGAAAACATGAACTAATTGAAGTTTCCTAGAATGTACTCTAAGTAGAACATGTGAGGTTAAATGACTACTCAGCCAATAGCCAAAATAAATGCTAGAGTTTACAACAGGTTTGGACCAGAAAGAAGTAGCCCTGAGTTCTAGGGAAGTTAGAAAACCCAGCTCATCTTTGGAAACTGATGCCCAGCAGGGCAGAGGGTTAAAAACAAGTAGTCTCAGTTCTCCTGTATGCAGCATTTTGTGACTGAAACATTTCCTGGCCGATGAAATGCAGCTGCAGTACCTCCCAGGTGCAAGGCATCTGTTGCTTTATAATCTCAATGCAATAAAGAGCTCCCTTTCCTTCTGACTGAGGTTTTATTGCAGGGTCTGTGTACACTGAAGGAAGAAGAGAGGAAGGGGAGTGGGGAAAGATATCAGGAAGTGCCTCTGTCCCAAGCAGGAGGTAACCAGAATCAGCTCTGCAACAGCAGGAGCACCATCCTGCTGAGGCATTTGGACATGATTAGGTACACTGCAGAGTTCCTAGGTCTGCAGTCTAGGGGTCTCATCCCACCTTCACAGGACTTTTGTGCTTGTATGATCAGAGCTAACCTGCTTCCAGAGGCCAAACTGTGCCCTGCCAAGCTGTAGCACTTGGTAGAAGTGCTGGAAAAACAAGCAGAAGTTCCCTCCTGCCACTCAGTGGGATGTAGGACAGGGACTGACCCAGGAGACAACTTGTTTCTTTCCAGAGGCCTTTTCATGCAGAGCCTGTTCATTTTTTACCATCTGAAATGCACAGTTTGCCCATTTAGGCAGAGCTGCAACATGAAGATACAACTTGAGAGCTATTGAGTTGAGGCATTACATATTCAGACATTTATAGACAATATAAACGTGTGAATGAAAAGCAGCAAATGAAAACCATGATGGAAACTTGTTCTTCAGTATGAGCTTGCAAGAGACAGGTACCAGGAAAGATGAAAGCATTGCTCCTAAGGCATATATCTGTAACTTCTGATGAAATAATAAATACACTCTTTCCTACTCATGTACCAGGAATTGAACCAAGATTAGTGTAAGATTACAGACCATAAACTATAATTTGAGGACATTTCAAAACATAAAAAATGCTTGGAATTCAAGGACAGAAACTTTTACCACAGTTTATGAGTAAGAATTTCATGGCACCGCTCCTTTTATGACTTTACAAGTACTTTTTACAAACGTTATCAGTTCACAGCACTCCACAGCTGTGTGACGGAAATTGCAGAAGTACTGGTGGAGCTTTACTGCTTTCTATCTGGGAAATGCAGCCTTTAGAAGGAAACACATCTATCTAGTGTACAAATCAAAAGATGAATGAGAAAGATCTCCAGTTACTTTCAGTTCTGTTTTCTTTGGCTGGAATTTATGTTTTCCCCAGACATCATATGTCCAGCCAGAACCCAGGGTAGTAGAATGACATTTCTAAGAAACAGAAGGGAAAGTTGCCACAAGCAAAAGGGACATTCTCCAAACACTGCCAGTTTTGAGTAAAATGTGGCACTATTTAAATGAACACTCCTGTGACTGAAGTAAACTTCAGAGATTTTCTTTGTAAAGACTGTTCCTCCCAGCCTTGATTTTGGAAGTTGCTAGTGACCATTACTTGGGCTGATATCACAGGAGGCCTGAAGTGTGTAGCATTTTTCAGAAGGCACTGTGTATCCATCAAAACAGGAAATACATCCGTCAGTCAGAAGAATCAGTGATTGATAATGAGCAGCACTGGTTTTATGAGCAGTATATACTGTTTTTTAACTGGGCCAGCCAAAGTGGTTTGTGAACTATCCACATTATGTGTTCTGAATCTAACCTACATACCTGAATGCCTAATTTTTCCGGGCAGGGAAGAACAGTGGAACTGGAGAGTGACTGGAGCCAGCTCAGTTGCATTTGCAAAATGTCTGCCCAAAGGTATTAATTCCTTCATCACTATGCTTAACTGCTGTTCACAAACCTGGACAGATGTAAAAAAGGGGCCTGGAGACTATTTTTGCTATCCCCAGACACTCACTCAAGTATTTCATTTGCCAGAAATGAATGTAAAACCGATTCCATTAAATGGCAGCATGAAAGCAGTAGTGAGTATGCTTCAGCCTCCTTAGCTCCACTGAGTGCTGGAAGCTCTTGTGGTCTGCAGTGGACTGAAACACCACTGAATTCTCAGCAAAGGAAGACCCAGAGGTACCAGAATGCAAATAAACCAATGTCTGTGTCAAACAGTAGGGTCAACTGTTCAAGTCTCCCTCTGCCTTAAAAATCTATGAAAACAACAAAAATGAAAATATCTAACCCACGTCTTGTGGTTATTAGTAATCACAGTATTATTTTTATGGGAGTCTAGATAAGGTATTGGCACATCAGAGATCTGCAGGTAAGAAAAAAAAAACAACTTGCATGTGCCTTTCACTTTCACCTAATATGATAATATGATTTCTCATAAATGAAGCTGTAACCGGCAGTGGAGCCCAAGACCTGCCAAGCTTTGCCTTGCAAATCCAAGGTCATGTGTTGCCTTTTTCCGTTCTCAAGTGTCTATTGTCTGATATCTGATATCTATTCAAATTGTAACAGAGCTACAGCTCTTCAAATGCTCCTGTGTAACATTTGAAATTACTTGAATATAAATGCTTGGTGTTTGGAGCATCAAAACTCCAAAGGTACAACCAAAAATGTGCAGTGTCCTGCCAGCTCTGCACAGACACTCTGTGACATTTGCATGAGTCTGAGGCACCATCTGTGCTGAACTGATGTCTCCTGTTGGCTCTTACAGTATTGACAGTTTCTATTTTAACAAACAAGCACTGATGGCTTTTGCAATAGAGTGCACTACTGCAAGTCTGGTTTTGTGGGCTTGTCAGGTTTTGAAAATAAGGTGTACTGGGTCTGCATTTATCATTTACTGCTGCTTTTCATGACAAGCTGAAAGCTTGCTAAGTTTTTGGCTTCAATATATTTGGATCCCTGATGAGTCATTTTTTTGGCTGCATTTGAATTTCAAGTCCAAGATTTGTTGTTTAGTTTGGAAGGCTACCCTATATAGAACTACACTCAGAAGCAATCATTGTGTTGCACACTATATGCCATCTTCTAGCCTTCTATAAAAATCAAATATTTTCATATGAGTCATTAGTAAATACTTAAATATATTCAGGTAGATAAATGTTCTTACAGTTGCCTCACTGCAGACGTCACACAACCTGTAGTTTAGTAGAAAGGTCAGCTTACCTATACATAAAAAGTTATTTTAATACTTCTCATTGGTCCTTTTCACAGTTTCTTTCTATGTTCCTCTGGTTTGTTTGTTTTCCTGTTTAGTTCATACCGTGAGGTTCTGAAGTCTTACTGGAGGAGCTGATTAAAATCTTGGAGCACCACTGATGTGCTCATGGGTCAGTTGCCAGTGATGGCTGTTCAATAACAGTGAATGCCAGCAATAAAATTCTGACCTTCATTCCATTAAATTCATATTTGACCTTGCATATTCTGGGCTTAGTGGAAAGAGATGGGTCTAAATTAGAGAGTTTCAGCATAGTGCATATCATAAGGTGCTTTACAAACTACAAACTAAAACCTGTGATTAAAATTACTTAAATCAAGAGGTGGAGGCAGTTTGTGACATTTTAATGTCAAATTGTATTTTAAAACATGACATTTCCATATGGCTTGTAGAGGTCTTTCTAAAATGAACTGATGAGTTGTCTTCCCATTGGTTCATGCAGTCTTTTGACTTTTTTAATAAATTAAGAATGTGAACCCTAAGAATGTGAAAACGTACTTCATCAATTAGACACTAAGTGTTCTGATTTAGGAAGAACTCTGTGATTTAACATGATATTTTATATCTTCTAGACCTATTAAGAGATAAGTAGGTCTTGTATATTCATATACTAATGTGACTTCCATCTAACATTCCTGCTATTAAAATGCCAACATAGGTCTTGTATATTCATATACTAATGTGACTTCCATCTAACATTCCTGCTATTAACATGCCAACATTTGTTCATTCATTCATTCACTCATGCCCATAGTATCTAACATTCCTGCTATTAACATGCCTTCATTCATTCATTCATTCATTCACTCATGCCCATAGCTGGGCAGCAGGCTGCTATTTGTAGGGGCTATGGCAATAAATGCATTCTCAATCCAGGCTTGTAAGTTCTTCTGGGTTTGAATCTTGCCTTACAGAATGCACACCATAATAAGAAACTGGAAACTCAAGCTGATTTAAGTCCCCGTCCACCTATGTACAAAAAACCATGTGCTATTGCTGAGCAACTTCAAACAAAGTTTCATTGCTGTTGATTTCCTTTTTTATTGTTTTTTGCTTTTTCAGTCATTCAGCTGTTTCTTGTGAATCCAGTGTGGTGCTGTAATTGTGATGTTTTTAGTTTAAACCAGATAAAGTTCATAGGGAGAGACAGTCTTTTTGCTGGACCTGAGAAAGATCTTACCTTCATGAAAATTTGACTGTTAGTAAAAGCCTCTCCCTACTAAGCACCAGAAATTTATTTCATGTATTTTTGAATATTGCCTTGATTATTACAGAATCCTGCCAATGTATTCTCTGGAATGGTTGTAACTTCTCAGCCTTACTGGCTTCTATGTAGATTTCTATTTCACAACCCAGACTTTAATTTAAATTAAATTTTCAATGTCACTCTGCTGCTTACTGTTCTTTAGAAAGTTATTCTTCTGTCACATCGCTGAATGAAGTGGATGCTGACCATGCTAATCAGAGTGTATTTGTGCAAGAGCAGCAGCTGTCAAGGGAAGGCACTGTGATCTGCATTCCCCTACACTGGTTATAGGGACTCTCCAGTCTTGTTAAGCTTTTGCTAATATCCAATTCTTTTAAAAAGTGAAACTCAGTCCAAAAGGCGAGTGACTGAAGTCTCCTAGCTACTGGCCCAGCTTCACTCAGGATGAAGATCTAATGTTTTATATGCCATTCATATTTCCTATTGAAAGATTTCTTTTTTCTTGTGCAGGAGTTTGAACAAGCCCATCTGGAAGCCAGCTCTGCAGACTATTTCCAGAGCAGCAAACAATACTGGAAAAGTAAAGACTGATTCATTAATTTTTTCTTTAATCGTGTTATAGTCCTATTCCACAGAACACTGATTTATTTAATTTACATGCTAGCATATATATACCATGGAAAGAAACCAACAGGTGACACCCACTTCTGCAGAACACAACTGCAGTTCTCTAAGTATTTCCTCTAAGTATTCTTTGTAAATGAAATGAGTCAGCTAAGCAGGACAGCACTGCCCTTTTCACAGCCTGCAGGCCCCACGGCAGGGATGTGTGGTGAGTGACAGGAACTGGGTACATCTGCATGCCAGTGGCAGCAATGAAATAATTTCTCATTCTAAGGCTGGCTGTACAAGCTGAGGTTTCCCCCCACTCTCAGAGGAGATGCTGTTTGTCCTCTCCACACGCTGGGTGTAGCTGGCAGCTCCTGGCAGCTGCAGGAAGTCTCTTGCCATAATCCACCACAGATTCCACCAAGCATGAGCTCACATGCAGAGCATCTATGCTATATTAGGTTCTCAAGGAAAAAGAGCACTGGGGGGTGCCTTGCTAATGCTTTGGTTCATGGTATTTGCCACAAAATTAGGTCACCGTATGTTAGAGTGACTCTTCTGTCACTCTAAGAGCAGGTTTTGGCTTGATGACACCATGGGAGAGGCCATGAGCCTCTTCTTGCTGTTGTAAGTAGTGGAGTTCTGATGTCTGTTGCTCACATTTACCTGTCCTGTCCAAGTCATATCTAAAATACCACTTATTCAGAGCCACCTCCTAATTAAAACCCTGGCAGGTTGCACCTAGAGTTTTCCTGTTTCAGCATATGACTTTGCTGGCTCCAGGTCTTTTGAAATTCCTGCTCGAACACAATTTAGTACCCATCTGCCAGACTGCTCTGCCCCAAAGCATAAATTACAAGCAGCTGAAGCTCATGCTAGGGATGTAAATACAACTGACTTCCAACCCATTAATTCCAACTCATTGATCCATTAATTTCAAATCATTAATTAAATTCAGTGATGATGAAACAGTCTAAAAAAAAACCTTGAAGGATGAAGATGTTTTTCCAGACTTCAGTCAGCATGTCCACATTGCATCTTTTATGCAATACAAAACAAACACCAGGAACAACTGAATTTTATATTCTTGTGTTTGTGTCATATTGTTCTATGTGCAATGTAAGAAAATAAGTCTAAATTAGGACAGATCTCTTGAAGGTCAAACCTGACACTGTATGTGCTAAAATCTGTCCTTCAGTGAAGTTTCATATGAATACCAGGGAAAGGAAGACATCTCAGAGCCCTCACTTGCAGAGTAATTGTTGCAAAGGATTGTTTTCACATCTTCCTTCAGTGATGCTGAGCTCCCATCTGCTGCTTCCTTTTTCTGCATGAGGATATGAAAGGCTCAATCATATCATTTGCAGTTTGCTCTGTGACTGTTGCTGGAGATGCCAGAATAGAGCAGATGTTGGCCTGCTCCAGTCACATCCTCTGAGTTCTGAATCCTGTGAGTTTCTAGGCTGACCAGAGACAAGTTTTTTTTTACAGATCTGTTTTATGGACATGTGTGGGCCATTCAGACATAACCATTATAATCTATGTATTTTTCAGCTCCACACTTTGTGTGACTTTTCTTGCAGTCAGCTGTGGAGCTCCCAGCTCCACAAATTAAAAAATTGTTTGAAATCAATTTTATAACTTCTCAGTACTAGGAAAGAGAAATAAAGTTGAAGAACCTGTTCTGTACACATTGGCCAGTGGACTGGAAAGAAGGATTTTTTTAAAACTCTCTCAGATAGAATGAAAGGCTGTAAAAGATCTGACTTCCTGGCCAAGGGAAAGAAGGATTTTTCTGCTTGCATAGTATCAGCCTTTTACCAAAATTATGGACACAAGCAGGGACTTGCTTCCATTTTAAGTAGTACTATCAGTAGCAGCACAAAAAGGTCTGACTCGACAGAAAATTTCAATTTGCTGCTTCCTTGGAAATCTCTTTTCTCAGAGATCTGGGGTAAAATTCTTTTCTAAGCTCTCTTGGCACCATACCAACGAAACCCTGCCAGTGTAATTGAGGGAGCCCTTAAACTGAGGGAGCCCTGACTCCTGCTTCCATCTGGACTGTGCTGCCCAGGTGTAGTCTGACCTTTTTTCACCATGCTGTGACCATCTCATAGAGGAATAATATCTTTGAAGGTTGCTTTGAAGTGAGGTGCATAGTGTAGTATCAGAGAGGAGATTGATTCCTTCTTTTTTAATCCGTGCAAACCAAAACTCTCGCATCAAGTGTGCTCTCAAAAAATCTGCTCATGTTTAATCCAGTGCAATTTAGAGCCTGGCAGCACCACCTCTGTGCCTTTTCCAACTGTGTGCTGAGCTTCCTCTGCCACCCTTAAATCAGAGGGTGATCCCTGTGGGGTCACCTCCAGCTCGGTCTGTTGAGGCCTCAGACACTTTCCCTGCAGCTGCAGAACGTGTCTGTGCTGAGCTGCACCAGGTCTTGGGGCAGAGCTCCGCAGATAATTCAGCATAACTATGCATTTTACTGAAAGATAAGGATTTTCTGGTTTAGGAAAACAAATCCATTTCTTGATGCAGGTTGCCAGTGCTTTTGCCCTTCTTATAACACTATTTCTTGAAGGCAAATCTTTTAAAAGGGACCTTTTAGTCTCTCCTGAAGATTACACTCTTGTAGGGGTCTTGCCTTGATCTGTAGATTTAATGGCTTAATAAGCATTAGACACTCCTATTATGCAGTAACAAATAGGAATACAATACTTTTATCAATATTTGGCACAATTAATTTTTTTTTATGTGAAACTAAATATTGATGCTGTCAAGTGACTGCAGTTTAAGGGCATAAATTACAAATATTCTCCTGTGAGCCTTGCTCAAATCGTGCATTCATATACAGTAACTATCTAATGTCTTTCTATTCCTGTAAGCTATATGATTTGATTGCCAGATTACATGGTTCTGTATTGTGCTTAGATGTCAGTGTTTTTATTGTTATTACCAATATTATGTTTTATTCTTACTGTAAGTGGTAACAAAAAATTAACTGCTTCCTTACACTATAAAAAGAATACAGTCCCATTTACAGAATGTCTCCAAACAGAAAATATATTTAGAAAAAAAAACTGAATAAATAATTCACAACATGATGGGTGAGTAGGAAGAAAGGTCTTTTGATGTATTTTGCTACTCAGGACAAAAACAGATTTTTAAAATAAAGTATCTGCCTATTTTAATGGAGAACAAAAGCTCTTCTAAAGAAGAATGATTGTAATCAGTGTATTTTTACCCATTCTGCACTTTTGTAGGTTATAGGACTTGTGAAAGTAATGAACCCATCCCTTTGGTTTTCGTGATTATTGTCTTTGTTCCATCCTCCTCTTTCTTCACTAGCTTATTTCTTGGCTTATTTCCTAAATGAAATGTCAACCTACCCACCCAAAAGAAACCATATCATTTCAAGAATACCAGACTGCAGCAAATACTGACTGCGAAATGTCAACCTACCCACCCAAAAGAAACCATATTTCAAGAATACCAGACTGCAGCAAAGTGAACTAGCCTGTCAGTAATATCAACAGACAGTAAATAAATTCGTTACAGTCTTGGAATTCAAGACTCCCATCTTAAAACTGCCCATGGTTTCAGTGCATTATGCACTGGATTTCCCCAGAAAAGCATCCCTGGGAAAATCAGCATGTGCATTTTCCTGTTTTCTCACGAAAGCGGAGCTTCATCCCCTGGCAAGTGAACGCCGCGGCCCTTGCCGCCCAGCAGGGCGGGAGGCCGGGCCCGGGGCAGAGCTCCGGCACCCTCAGCTCGAGCCAGAGCCCCGAGCCCCAGCTCCACTGCCTTCTGCACGTAAAGGGGCCGCTCCTGAACTGAAACCAGGCAAAATGACGGCCAGTCAGGCTCTGGGCTGATCCAGGTGAGGGGGGCTGGCACACGGTGCAGCCGCTGGGCAGCGAGGGCGCCGGGGCGGGGGAAGCGGCCGGGGCACGGCCGCGCTCCGCACCCACACAGCCCCGCGGGGCCCCGGCCGCCCGTCCCGCACAGCACCTCCCACTCCTCAGGCCGCTCCGCAGCCGCAGCCGCAGCGCTGCCGCCCCTCAGGGAAGGGGTCGGGCCTGGCTCTTCCCGTCCCTCAGCGGCGGGAGGGCCGGGCGCTCCCCGCCCCTCAGGGCGGGCCGGGCGCCGCTGGCCCTGCGGGCCGTGTGGATGCAGGGCACCGTGCTGGAGGTGCAGCGCGGCGCCGAAGGCGGCTCGGCCCGGCTGCAGGACGGCAGCGGCGCCTTCACCGTGCTGGGCGTGGAGCAGGTGCCGCAGGGCCGGCCGTGCCTCAGCGCAGGTACCGCGGGCTGGGGGACCCCCGGGGCAGCGGGTGCTGTCCCTGCCCGTGCCCGCTCCAGCGCACATCCCCTCCGCACGGCCCCGAACAAGGAAATTCTTCTCCTATTTCTCTTTCCTGTTTCTTTCTTGCTTTCTTTTCCTTCTCTTCCCTTCACCAGAACTGCCAGTTCAAATGGAGAAGTGTTGGTCTGCAGTGTTGCAGAAATTGCAGTACAAAATAGGCCTATTGCTTAAAACTTCTGACCTACCCTCAGGCCCTCACACAGCAGGACAAATTTGTGTTTGTTTGGCTCTTATCGTATGTGGAAATATAGTTAAATATGCCTTAGAAGTGGCTGTACAGATAATGAAGCCTTTTCTGAAATTCAGTTGTAAGCAATCTTCATTCCCTGAGTTTTCTTACAAGTATCACCATCTTCAATTTGCACTGTTTACTTGACTTTAAGTAATTTGGTTTATGAATTTAAATGATAATACAAAGGTTAATTAAATTTAATGCTTACTTGTTTTTTAGGGAAGTATGTAATGGTGATGGGTGTGGTGCGGTCCTGCAGTCCGGAGCCCGTTCTTCGAGCAATAAAGATGACAGATCTCTCTGAAAACCCCATCCATAAGAGTATGTGGGACCTTGAAGTGGAGGATTTGCACAGAGTCATCCCCTAATACTTTTACTTTCTGCCTAAAAGAACTGGACATTTGTTTTCTTTTGCTTTTTGGTGCAGAACATTGGACTATTCTGTGTAACCACTCCAAAGTGAGAAGTTGGGCTCTGTTAAGTGTGGGGACCAGTGCTTATCTGATCATAATCACAGTTCATGTCTCTCTCTTTTTCTACCAACATATTTCAGAAGTGCCTATTTGATGTTCTGATTAAGATGTCCATGCTATTAAAAAGGCTGGATGTTTGTTTCTGTGTGTGTTAGCTGCTCTTTGGGGGAGCTCATGTTGAGGCAGTTGTTCTACAGCAAGGTGTTTGTGGCAGCAGGGCTGAACAGGGCTCGTGTTACCAGGGTGAATTCAGCACCTGGCATCAAGGCAAATTTGTTTCAGTCCATTTAGGCTGTGCTTGGAAATAATCGTTTTCACCTGTATTTTGTATTTCAGTAATCACCATGACTGTAAACTGCTTGTAAGACAGGTGTCTCTTGGTAACAATTAGCAGTGTCTTTGACTTAAAATACCTCTCTGGTTTCTGAAATACTGAAAGTGGTAATGACTCCTCTGTTCCAGTGAAGTTTATGAAAAGTTGTGATGCAGGATTCCTTGGAATAGGTTCTCCAGGTGCAAGATGTAAATACTTTTTACCTCCAGAAACAAGCATTCTGTCCCTAAGAGCATTTTCCTTTTTGAAAGTTGTTTTCTTCCAGTGTATTCTATTTTTAACTGTTTAAATAATTCTAAATTATATTATCTTTCCTTTTCTATAAAAAGTACAAATATTACTGCTCTTTATTTTCCATCTTGTCTAAAGAGATTTTGGGTCCTGATGAATGCATTGCAGTATCTGTGTGCAATGGCTTTGTGATTGGGGACTGTATTGGAGTTATGTTAATTAGGAATGCATATTGGAAGAAAAGAGAATCTCTGATTGTATGCTCTACAATTTTAAGTTGAGAATCAAGTGGTGGTAATTAAATTTTTTAATTATGGGACTAGGTTTTCAAAGCATGTGGAAACTAACTAGCATCCTTTAAAGATGTGAGATCTTAGCAGACTAAGGACTGGATTTCAGAGTACAATTCCAGCCTTGAGTTTGGTGTTCCAAACCAGACCATATCACAGGCAGTGAAGTCCTGTGCTCTTGAGATCCTGCTGATGAAATCCAAGACATACAAAGATAAAGACTTTTGGCAGTCTGAGTTTATTTATTGTTTGCAGTTCTGGAAAAAATTTGCTTGTGGAGTGCTGTAGCCTTCAGATATAATCCATGTAACCGCCATGTCAGCTGGTAACTGGTTCATACTAAAAATTCTTTTCCTAGGAGTTCAAAGCAAAAGACACTTGTAGCCAAGGTGAGTGTTGTATTCTAAACAGAAGACTGCTGGAATTTGCTTTGACTCCCAGCTCAGTTGTGCTTCACCATGAGAGGCTGATGGTGCCTGTTTAAGGCTGGGCTGAAGGGCCTTGCTTCTGGATTTCCACAGTTAAGCATTGTGGGGCTCTGCTGGGTACTGGGAATTCTCCCTTTTCCTCACATTGTGTCTCAAATTCTGCAGTTAAAACATGGGTTTGTGATTTTTGTTGCTGTTGAACAGCAGAGTATGTAACTGAGAAGTTACAGGATAAGGGGATTCTTTAGCCCTGTGTTGAGGAGGAGGTCAAGGCTGAGCTCTTGTTACATCTGTTTTGGGGTTAACTTGGTGTGATATGCAGAAATTCTGTGAACTTTATAGATCATGGGGGTTCTCTATAAAGAACATGTTGGAGGTGAGTTGTAAGCACTAAAACTACACTGGGAAGCACGACTGCACCTGTGTGTGCCCTGCAAGGACAGCTGCTCTGGGCAGGTGTGTTCAAAGTGCTCTCACAGCAGGATTACAGAGGCAGAAATTCCTGTGTGTTGTGATGGGGAGATCCCTGAGATATGCAGTGTATATCATGTATTTGCCATATGACAACACAGTTTATATATATAGTTTATGTATAGTTTATATTCTGCATGACCTGCATCTGAGGCATAAACAGTTTGGATTACTTCAGTCAAGGTGTTCAATAATGTGCAGTGTTGTCAGTGGTTATCTACTAAAAGTTCAGTCCTGATAAAGCCAGGGCTAGTGCAGAGATAAAAGCCAGTTTTGAAATAGTGAAGCTGATGGATTGATCTGATAAATGCTTCAGTCAAACCCTTCCAAGGTGGTTCTTCTCCAGAGGTTCACATCCATGAGAAATCACAAAGGTGTCTCAGTTGGCCTGAGGGCTGTTTAGTGTGGAGCTGGCACACTGCCCTGCAGGGACACTGCTGTCCCTCCCTCCAGGTACAGCTGGAATGGGCTTCCCCACATCCCCTGTCACTGGTGTTGTGTTTGCTGATAGGAGCTGCCATCTCTCTGGTAGGCAGGAGGGTGATGTGTGGGCTCCATTTTTAATTCCTCAGGTAAGACATTACCATGCAGTAAATAAGGTATACTTAAGAACAGTCTGGCTGGATGGTTTTATTGGTTCATTAAAAGGTTTGCACAGTTCAGTTGAAGAACCCCTGTCACAGCCTGTGACACTGCTGTCTGTGTTTGTGGGCAGGGATTTGGTGAACAGGTGTGAAAGGTTTGCACAGTTCAGTTGAAGAACCCCTGCCACAGCCTGTGACACTGCTGTGTTTGTGGGCAGGAATTTGGTGAACAGGTGTGGCAGAGCATTTGCCTTTGCATTAACAGCAGAGTCAGGCAGGGAGCAAAGGCACAGCTGCCAGTGCAGAAACATGGAGACAAGGCTTTATTCATGACAGCTGTGAATCAGTGCTAAACTCCAATTGTGAACGTGACCTGCAACACTTCATTTAAGTGTGGATTTGTTTGTTGTTGTTGTTTTGTGGGGGGTTTTTTTGTTTGGTTTGGTTTGTTGTTGTTGTTGTTGTTTTTTGTCACCCCTGAGGGTGGCTGTTAGCCGTGCTCAGTGTGTGTTGTTGTTTTGTGGGGGGTTTTTTTGTTTGGTTTGGTTTGTTGTTGTTGTTTTTGGTCACCTCTGAGGGTGGCTGTTAGCCCTGCTCAGTGTAAGTGGTGTCTCATACATGCCCTGTGTGCAGGCAGCTGCCCTGGGTCAGTGGGATGTCCAGCCCAGCCCAGGGGGGCAGTGCCATGTCCAGCCCAGCCCAGGGGGTCAGCAGGATTTCCACCTGGCCTGTGGCTCTAGGGCTGGAGCAGGGCTGGGTCTGGCTCCTGCTGAGCTTCAGGGCTTGAGGTGTGTCCAGGGCCTGTACAAGTTCCTGACTCTCTAAAGAGTATCTGGACAGGAACTGTGTACACGGAGAAGCTAGGAACAGCTCAAGAGATACCAAACAACTGGACTGAGTGAAATGGCTGCAGTTAAAAATGTTTATTGGTAGTTAAATAGCTTCTTTATTACAAGTGATAAGTTACATGCAGCTTTTAGAGGAGACCTAGTGTCTGCATCCAGTTCAGTGTTGCTGTCTGCAGTTAGCATTTAGTTAAACTCCTGTATTTCTTTATTGCTGACTGAGCTCTTCTCAGTCTTTTCCTCTACTTGCTGATATTTTTCTTTGTTTCTGAAACTGTCACTGCAGGATTTTTTTCAGAGGTGCTTGGTATGCTTAGTTGGGGAGTGAAGTGACATTCAGTGACTGGGGAGAAAATTACGTGGGTTTTTTATTCAGTAACTGGTATAAATACTCTGTAACTTCCAGAAATATTTCATACCATTTTGGCTTTTTACAAGGGTGCAGGTATAAAATTATTACAGAAGAAGACTTCACTTCTAGCATCTGATGTGTGTGGGAATCCTAAAAATTGCAGGATTCTTTCCTGACTAATGTAGGAAACGTGTTTTAATTTGTATCAAGCTGGAGAATAAGTGATCAGAAAGCAAGTGCACTGCAAGAGCATACAGGAGATAAGAGGCAGCTGCTTGCTTTTTCTGAGCCAGTCAAACCCAGCCAGTGCCAACTCTCTATAGAGGTCAGTGCAACTTTGTTGCTACAAATAATCAATAAAAATGTACTCCAACGTAAAAATAAGGCAGTCAAATGTTTATTAGCATGATGTCATAGTACAAAACACCTTTATTTCAATGTTTGCATATTATGCAAACATTGCATTTGCAGCATTTACCTTTTACCAAGGAATTGCTGCACCGTGTGGAGAAAGGTGATGCAATTTTTTAATGAAGTGACCTATAATACAGAAAGGGATTCAACATCTGAGACACTCACACAGCAGTAGCTGTAACACCCTAACGTTACTTCATGGGTAGGGTCCATACTGGGCACCTTTTCCCAGCACATCAACTGGCTGCTGACAAGGGCTTTCTGAAGACACAAAGGGAAAATGTGAAACTGGTGCACAGAAACCAAGAAGGCTGTTCCTCATTTAACAGTGTGTACATTAATAAGGGAAAAGTTAACCAGCATAAAAATGAGAAAATTATTAACTGCTTTCCATTATTTACCCATCTTATTTCTCTCTTAGCCTTCTTGTGTGTTGGAACATTTCCCTGGAAACTGTCTCCAGAACCACTGAATGCTGGAGTTTCATTTCTGGAGAAAAAAGAAGTCAGCATCTCTGCTGACTGAGCTGATGATGCTGCTTTCACAAAGTAGCCCACTTGTACCAATCTGAGCTGGAAGAGAGCTTTTCTCAGCTTTTCAGTGTATTTGTGCTATGGTTCAAGGTTTGTGGAGAGGCACACTTTTGGAACCGAAAGGGAGAATTTTTTTAGAGTAACTGATACTTTCCTGTCTGATTTCTTTTGGTTGATATAATTTCTTGTCAATACACTGAAATAATTCCTCTTGCCCTCAGAGGTTCTGGGTGGAAAGCTTTCCTTTTATACTATATATACTTCACTATATTACCAGTTAACACTAATACATTCACACTTCTACTGTTCTCTCCCTGTTCTTGCCTCTAGCTTGTCTGCCTAAAATAACTGTTCTGTTTTGGGTGCTGAAAGGGTTCTTCCATCTTCAGGGCTGGTATCTGCCATTCAGAACTGGCTCGAGCTGAAAGGAAGAAGAGATGAACTCCAGGTAAGTGATAAGTAAGTACAAGTCACATGTAATGCAACCTCTCATTACAGTGAAATACAAAAAAATCTCTGAAGGGAAAATAGCATCAGATATATTTATGACATCAAAACACTGTGGGGAAAGTACTGCAGCATTTTAGATACAGTTTTATCTTAGATCACTAAACTGAAATAAAGATGTAAGGTTCTCTCATGTTTGATAAATTCACATTTAGGAAGAAAAGGGCAGCATTATTTCTAACGTTTATGAGGTCTGGGTAGTTCAGCTATTCAGTGGAAGATCCTTGACAAGAATGAATTTCTAAGAAATAGTGCAGAGGTAGTTTCTGCTGACAGCCACTTTCTGTTTTGCTGTCATGACTGTTGCTGGTTATCAGTTACTGTGTGTGAGTAACCCAACCATTACAGACTCTTTCACTGTGTCAAACCTAATTCTCCCTTAGTTTGGTCTGTTCAACTTCCTTCTCTTTAGAGTCTTTACATATTTAGAGACTTAACTCATGTCTTTCCTCAACCCTTCCATTTTTTCCCCAGGATTGTTCTCAACTGGTTCACAGTTTAAGTAAAACATGGTGTCCAAAACTGGATATATGAAATAAGTTAAATAGAGAAGGTCTTTCTTGTCTTCAATGCGTTGATTCATGTGTACATCCCCAATGTATTTTGCTTCTTTATTAGCATGTTCTAGTTAACTGAGCTTGTGGTCCACCTTCATTCCAATCCTTTTCCTCAGAAATGGGATAGTGTAAGC